CCTCTGACCAGTTTTATGCTCACTTTCGATAACTATCGATCGAGCGAATCCCAGTCCGACTGGGCAAGATCTCCTCTCGAACGACACGACTGAATTACGTAAATCGTATTTAGATCACCATCTTCGCGAATTTGCCTTGTGAAAAAAACGTTGAAGCGATATTTCGACCAAGAAGCGCATTAAATTAGCATACGTTATTTTCCGGTATAACTGTCGAGACTATAATCGAACAAATTCTTCCCGTCGATGTTTTCGGACGCGGGACAAAAATGAGAAAAAGGAAAAAAAAAAAGAAAAAACGTTAGCGAAAGAAGAAAAATAAATTGACAAATATAACGAATAACGCTCTTCCGTGCAACGTACCTTCTTCGAGAGCACGCAAATACGATATATAATAGACGTACAGGTAATAACGCGCAGTACGTACGTACGTGTAAATATATACGAAACAGAGATGCAAACAGGATAATAGTAGTCGTACATATATACATAAACTGTCTAGAATAGAATCGATAGACTGGTCCGTCGATTGTCGTCGACGTTTCTCTAAAACGTTTAAAGGTATACCGTGATATTTTCAATTCGTAGCTTCGAGTTTTCGAGTTTGCGAAAGGCAGGCAAATCTGGCGGTGTTTATCCCAGCGGGATGCGAAGATTCGCCTTTTTCCAAAAAGGGACCGCGTTGTTCGCGAAAATCGACTGACCCGACGCTCTACTCGGTAGATTCGTGATTCCACTGGTCAAATAAGAGGGTAAAACGCGGAATGGAACGCAGAATGAAACGCAGGGTGAAACGCAGGGTGAAAGAAAGAGTGAGGCACAGGGTAAGACGCTTGGTTTTCGATCGAATCGAAACAAGGCACACGCGTTCGCGTTGAATCGATGGGAAGGTAATGGTAATTTCCGCGGACGCGTGTACCATTGACGGTGCGCGAACGCGGAACAAAGGTATTTTTTTATTCGATCGACGATCGTAGGGAACGACAGAACTGGAACGCCGCGTGATCGATGGAGCGCGGCCGAGTAAACGTTCGTGGTTTTCCCGCCAATTTAGCGCCATTCGACGCGCGACGTCACGCGTAATGGCGGCGGCGGCGGCGGCGCCACCGTCGCTCACGGAGGGTACGCAGAAGAGAGATAATTTAGCGAACAACGGAGATTATTTTACTTGTCGGGGCTGTAGGTATAAATACTCGGGGGTCTCGTTCTACGGTTCTTGTAACGGCCGCCATTGACTTAACGATGACAATATTATTACCTGTAGATATATACTATACATACTATCTTTCATACTAAGTACCTATTGTATAAAATCGATTATTATTGTACATTGTATACATACACCTGTGCGAACGATTATACACACGGATCCGTGCAACTGTTCGAACAAGGTGGACAAACTTTTGCGACAATACTGTAACTAACCATTGCCAACAAACTCACGAGAACACGCGTGCTTGGAAATTTGGAAACTTTGGCAACGACGAAATCGTTATCTTCTCGTCGCGACGATCGCAGTCGCGTATATTTCGATGGTGGAGAAATCGACGCTAGGCGTCCCATCATCGGTTAGCCGTTCGACCGCGGTCGATCGCGCGAATTTTGTACAACCTTCGTCGTGACACGCGTCTTCGGTATAGGGTAACATTCGCGCGGCGATACGCACCATCCGATCCTCGAGTTCGAGGGAGGGGTCGCGTCCTTTAGGGGAAGTTATTCGAGGAAACGGCATTTGTATTTTGTATTTTTCTATAGTTTGTAGAACTCGTCAGCGTCGACTTTGCAGAAACGATGTCTGCATCTGTGATCGAACGCCTAGTCTTCACGGATGAAAATATTTTTCGCCAGTTACGATTATGTTTCTCCGAAAGTGAGCTTTTACGTTCATTCGACGTCGTATCGTTGTTGCAATCCTTCCGATATTTTTCCATTCGTCGTCGCGTTAAGCTAGATCTAACGAAGTCTATTCGATTAAGCGCCCGTCATCAGGGATGATAAATTACCGACATATCAAGGATATTGTATATCTAGTTTCCGTGAGATTATTCAAGAATTTCAGTTGGAATTTCAGTTTCAGACGAAACATCGTCGACAAATTCTTCAGGTAGCGATATTTTTTTCCGTGCAGTTTATCGGCAGGATTTCTAACATCTGTAATCGTTTACAACCCCGTGAGTCATATCTCTGCCATATCCGATATTCTAACGAAGAGTGCTGGGTCCTCCGACGCAACCGTAGAGCTAAGGATCATGTACTTAAAAGAGAGCAGAGAACGACGAAGAAATTTATTCGCGTGCTCGTGGACGGTGATGGTACACGTCTTTCCTATTCGCTCTGAACTCGAAGTACTTCCAGTTTCGATGCTTTCGTTCGACGCAGACAATATTAACATTCGAAACATATCCCAACCCCCGACGATTAGAAAACTTGCGAGAAGATTCTCACTTCACCGTCCGCGAATACGTTCAGAGAGGGCAGCACCTTCGAATCTCATACCTATCTAAGTGAATCTTATAATGCTCAAGGGCTTGGACGCAGTATTGAATATAACTTTACAATTAAGTTAACGCAGGTGCAATGCTCGTGAAACGAGTGCACGTAGGATAAGAGTAATGATAACGATTAAACAAGAAAACAAGAAAAAAGATACTCCGGGATTCTATATATGAATATATATAAATATATATATATATACATTATAAATTGTACAGAATGATTCTTCGACCATCGTGAGACTATCTCGTTTCTCCTTAGTGTACTGCGCCGAACGATAAGTATGTAAACGTTTTAAGAAGTCGCCTAGGAGGGGTTGGATTATAGGTATAGCGGATAAATTCTCTGGAACAACTATACAAGTAGCAGCGAAATCACCCATTTCTCTCCTAATTAATCGGAACACCTTCCTTTCGACTAGTTAATAGCCAAGCGAAGTAATCACACAAACACGCAGCGAGCGGGACGACTCGAAAGAGACGAGAAAAATTTTAAAAAAGGAAAAAAAAAAGATATAACGAATAAAAAATCTGCACTGTGCACTTTCGTGAATTGAAGGTATTATCGTAATCCTTAGGTGTAGCAATCAGCGAGTCGAAAGTCGGATTAGAATTCGTATTAATTATGCACGCGTAGCTATGCGATTAATCTGGGAAACCGTGAGACGTTTGATGCAGGCCGTGGTGAGTTAAATTAGACATTCGCCAGAAATGACCAATCGAGTCGCCGTGATTCTCGAGAAATGAAAAAAAGGAATGAGAGTGTGGGAAATATGCAAAATTTATATCGATGCACACTGGGCAAAGTGCAATCAAGAAATGTATTTCTACGTCGATTGGTTACGCGATTGAATTTTTGCAAAAGATTATCATTTTTCAATACCATTTTCCTTTTTCTTGTCTTTTTTCTTTTTTTTTTAATCACGAATTCAAGATTGAGATATTAATTTCGAAAAATTCCGTGGCCCGCATCACGCGCTTTCGTATGCATATTTGTATCCGTGTATACCGTGTATGGGTGTATATGAACGTGCACGCAGTGTATACGTGTGGCAGGGTAAGGGTAATGAAAGTTGCTTGTAAATGTGCTGATTGGAATCCACGAGCGTAATAGATGTTGCGGATGTTTGGAAAATTTGATATCGGAAATGGGACATTTAGAAAGAGACGCGTATTAACTGGATGTTAAACGATGAAAAATTTTCAATGCAAACGTGGTTCGAGCATTAAGAATGCCACGGCCTGCTAAGTAGGCTATATATACGTTATTACGTCTTCTATTTATCGACAATAAATTAACGCGAACTATTTACAAGTTATCGACAATAAAATGGACATTCGGAGGAAGCGCTGGCCGTCACCGAAAGGGATGTTCGAACGTTTGTATGTAGATAAAGCTAAACGAGATGAGAATATTCCGAAAGAACGTATTTTTCAAAAGCTGCATACATTAAGGGTATACATAGTAATATAAACATATATGTATATATATACACATATATATCTAGCCTGAAAAGGTCGCGCCTAGCTTCGCTTGCTAGATTTAATATTTTTGTAATGACGCTTAGACGTAGCTCGTTTGTACCTTCGCAGATTAAGAAACGTGTTTATATATTCGCGCGTCGACGCCGGGCTGGCCGGCGACGCGCGAAATTTGAATCGAAGCGGGGCGATGTATTCGCGCTACGACCACCGTAAAGGGAAATCGTAATCCACGATCGAACGACGCGTAAATTGTAACGTAAAACACGGGAAAGAGATCGTGGTTCCTCGACCGAACCGGGAACTCACGCTCAGCACCTTTCTATTATCGATCACTCCGATAACGTCGCGTACAGTGGCTCCGATCTATCGACGGAACGATTCTAAAACTAAATAAAGGTGTTCATCGATCGAAATCGCGAGAATTTACAAATTTCCGGAAGAGAAAGTCGATCGTAGAGATATGAATAGCACAAAACAATCCTGCCGACACGGTGGTACGAGATTTGTATCGAAAGAGACGTGCACGTAACGAACGAGTGCATCCTGTATTTATGCTACGAATAAGTATGTACTTAAATCGTAATTCGTTTAGCGTCTGCATTTGTACCTCTCTAGAAATAACGAACGATACTGGATATCCAAGCGCTAAATGACCTTCGGCGGAACCAACTACTTGCGTGTTTGTATAGAAATCCATATACACCTACATAAAATGCCAAAAGAAAAAGCAGATATAATCGTCAAATAATCGTTGTTCTTGTCCCTCTCCTACCAAGCATTTACTACAATACGTAATATTCTAAACGATACTACGATGAGGTTATAGATATAGGTTAGAAAATTTGATTTTCATTACGCGATATCACGCGATTTATGTAACGGAATAATAGGCGAGATCGCCATCGTTCCACGGAACCTTCGCGGACGTACTATCATAGACATCTATGCTCGAAAGAACGTACTACGCCGCGTCCGAGCACGTAACGCGACGAAAATTCAATTTCAAAATATGAAAACACTCACCCAACTGTGGTACCGAAACGTACGTCTCGCAGTCTACCAAAAATTGACCGGTTTGCACTGCACCAAGAGCAACGACCCTCTTCGTCAGGAACTCGATTGTCTGTGGGCCGGTTCTGTTTTCTATCATCGGATATTGTTGCAAACTGCAAACACACAAATGCCGGTTACGAACGAGGTATCGAATGTTCGAAATTATTGCATTTAAACGAACACGAATACTCTTAATGCCTCGAATGTCGAGCGAATATCGTAATAATAGAGAAAAAACGTTTTAAAATGCTTCTATTTCTCTGGCATGTGTTATTTCGACATAACCTCTAAATATCGCAAGATTCGGCGACTACGTACAGTATGCCGAATGAAGCGTTTGTAATCGGGTATGTGATAAAGAAGGATAAATAGGAAAAGTATTTAGAATTGGAAAATTACTTACATCGTAACACCCATTTTTATGGTCTTTTTGCACTAGAGACCACCGGGTTACACACACGAATCACTTGTCAAACGAAGAGAACGCGCGCAACTTGAACGAATTTCCAACGACATTCCGTAACCATCGATGGATGGCGCTATGCGTACGTGACATGGCGACCTCTGTAGGAAAGAAAAGTAAAAACTTATATTACGGATATGGTAAAAGATTTTATTAAACGGTATAGGATATTGTCATAAATTCTGAAATGTCGATTATTTTTTGTTTCTCCGCAGTAAAAAGCTAATTATTTTTGAAGCTCAAATTTTTGCGAATGAGGAGAGAAAATCGCGTTTACTCGATTAACAAATTCGAAGATGAATATTTATTTGTGTAGGACACATAAAAATGGGTAAAAATGAAAATTATAATATTTTCTATTCGAGATTATCATTCTAATTAATTTTTTGATGGGAACATTTATGAAGATAAAACAGCTATTAAGGAATTTCACTCGCGATTATGAAATACTTTTGTAAATGTACATTGTTGTAAAATTCTTTTTTTAATTTCGTAATAAAAAGTTTCCAATTCTAACCTATATGGTATATTCTGTAGGGTATACCGAATCGGTAAGGTTGAAAATGACACTAATATGGTAAGGAAGACTCTTGATACGTGTGGCATACGATAGCGTTAGGTGGTATAGCAATAGCATAATTCGAAATATTTTCGTATATGCGTAGTTATTGGTTATACGTATCAAATGGATGAGTTAGATGTCTCTCTTTCCTTAATTTCAATCTTATTATTTAATTGATAAAATAAAATTTATTAACGAAGGAATTATGCAAGGACCTTCATATTTTTGAGCTATAAACTACTTATTTATAAGTATAACCAAATTGTTGTACACGTGAAATACTAAAATTCTTAAAAAATATATAACGTTTAGTTCATCGCAAAAAGGGTGCATATTTGATATCAAAGTGTAAGTACATAACCAATTGGATAACCAACAATTTTTCGTCGTAGAAAAAATTAATATATATTTACAATTAAATACTTTATAACTTACTAGGTGGATGCCAGTGCACTACAGATGCAAATGTCAAATTCTTTCATATCATTCAACGTCGTTGGACTTTTTTTACGATTTTAATCGCGAACATTTTAATTACGTCACAATTACCGAACCGTGTTAGCAAGCACGATATTCCCGCGACTATCCTACAAATTCAAATTTCACTGAAGGTGGCGTCCCTAGAGAAACGCCACGACCGTTGGCGAAATCGAATTGATGATGCAATCTATCGATGTTATTGCACTTGCTACGAGAGATGGCGATATGGTACGTTGAAGTGTCCCTGGGAATGGCGATCTGTTAGAACTCGAGCAAGGTGTAGTTTTATTGTTGTTGCGTAGATAATATCGGATTCGAATTGAAATGCAAGTGATAAGTTTTCGTGCGCGTGTGATTGTGAGTTGCAGTGACAGAATTTCTCGACCACGAGAAAAGATGATGACGTCGACGTGTTGGAAGGCAATTTGAAAGCAAGGTAAGAATAATTCGTACTCTACATGTTGAATAAGTCAACGTGGCCGATTCTTAACCGTCTTTGGACAGCCATGCCGGTCGTACGTTTTATTTCAAAATACGTGACATTAATACAATTGATATGCAAACGTATGCAATTCGTACGCGATTCGTATGCACTTAATCGATGCTTGAGATTATAACGTATCGCGAAATGATTACAAGTAGCTTCGAATGAGTAATCGCGAAAGTTTCTCTTTTCGTACGCCATTTAGTTTACTCGAATATGATATAAGCTGTACGCGATCGTAATCCGGCGAGTTTGTATTACGCATATAATATATGACGCCGCCATTAACGCATTTGGCGCCAATTCTTCGTTGCTTGGCTATGTCGATCCGTTATCGACCGTTATCGATATTGAAGAAACCTATGCAATAGATTCCTATACGGTTTTATATATCCACACGAAGGGGTTCGAAATACATAACCTTAATTGGAAAACGATATCGATTTTCGGAAAACATACGAGATTAAGATTCTTCATATCGAAACGCATTGTATAACATATTTCACACTCGATACATTTTTTCACGATTCCCGGCAGCTCTCACGAGTGAAATCATTCGTTCCGGGAAACTTTTTAATTAAACTCGGCCATATCGGTCACGCACACTGCTGAAACGAGAAATTCGATATCGGGCATCGATCAGACGCCGCGGAACTTGTTAATAAACGCGAAAAATCGTGCTATCGAAATTCCTTTCGTTCGGATGGTACACAACGAGCGGTTCGTCAGTGAAAGAACCGTGTCACGATTTTCCGAGCGGGGTCGTGGCAAAAAGAGTAAAAGGAGTGCTCGCAAAGGTACGATTAATTTGTGAGGGAACGTTTCTCGATCGTTCCCGTTTCTCGATGTTGTTACGTCGCTTTGGTTCACTACGTGAATCGGAACGCGGTCGTTTGAAGACGCGAAGGGTTACTTCGCGTTCTCGTCGCGAGTGCCTGCCTCTTATCGACGCTATTTACGCGGCGTAGCTATATCCTCGTGGATCGGAAAGAGACTTTAATAAAAACCGTAGCTGGCGCTTCAGCTGTCTCGGAGGGAGAAAGATGGAAAGAAACAACAGAAAGAAACGACGTTGAAATACAGGTCATTCCGATTAAGCGCGCGCGTTTCTGGGGTGCATTAAAACCTGTGCCAGCACAAGGTCTCGTTTATTAAAACCGCGCGACCGGAATTGACCTTAATCGCGCGGCTTTTTCGGCCATCTTCGTCGCGATTCCGCGAAACGCTTTTACGAACGTCGCATGCGTACTTCGCACGCAAGGCCATGCAGATGAATGCGTGCTGCGAGTTTGAAAACATCTCTTTTGTTCCAATCCTTTCACGATTTTCGAGCGAGAATAAACTTTACCCGGTTTCGCTTGGGAATCTTTTCTTCGCGTGCTAAATACGAACCTTCTATTGCGCGAATGAAAACTGTCTCTTCGGGACACGACGGGATAAAAATTCGAACATCGTTGCACTCCGATTCGTTACAGTCACCCCGATTTCCGTCCATGAAACGGTATTAATCCTCCTTACGCTTTCATAAGTCTCGCGATCGAGCTTTCTGGCCGAAAGGCGTACATCGTCGTCCCCTATCGCGACACGGACATTTTTTTTTTTTTTGCCACTGGATATACGCGCGTCTCTCCCAGGATTTCACCGGGAAAGAAACGCTCTCACAGCCCTTCATCCACGACCCAAATATCCGAATCGGGAGGAAAAGTTGGCGGAATCGGCGCAGCCGTGAATTCTCTGTCCGAAACAATTAGCCACCGTTGGCGCTGGCGGCGCGGGGGGAGGGGCCTTAGCGGGCGGGCGCGGGGTGGGGGTAGCGTTTCGCGCAGCCTCACGGCGCACGTCGTTCCTGTTTCAAAGGCGCGCTTCGCGAAACAAAAAACGGGGACTCCCGTACGCGACGATAAAATCGACGAGGTTCGGTGGCTTTCTTGTTTCTCGTGGCAGGCACACGCGCGTCGCGACGATCGTTCCACGAAGGAATCGTTGAAATGCGCGTCGAGCGGTTGCTCGCGACAATTGAGAATCGCCCTTCGAGGCTGCTGCGCGGGACGGTCGCCGAGCGAAATACAAAAATAGGCGCCAATCATGGCTGAGATGTACACCGGCAGGAAACTATGACCGGATGTTCGGTGGCGCGTGACTCGAATGCGGAGCCCGTAACACCGGCACCGTGCTCCATCGTTAAATATTCCGTCGATATTCAACGGTAGCATCGAACTGCTTAAATTTCGTCTCTAGCCAAGTCTTCGGAGCTGATAGGTATTACGAACGTGATCGAAAGACAGAGATGGCCGCCACGGTGGCGTCCTCGAACAAGGCGCGTTTCTTCCAATCTTTGTTCCAACCTTTCGAATGATAATCGATTTTCCTTCGCGTTAATTAGGATCGGGTAATTAAGTTCGATCGAAGGGGATCCTAGGGGGGACTGTAGTTCGCGAGGCGATTAATCGTTAGGACGGAGAGGGTGCAGCGCTGCGCCACGCGTGCATCACTGAGCGTTGGATTCGATTAAAGGCTCGATTATCTCTCGCAAGTACCAAAGTGGAAGTCGTACTCTCGACTCGTACGTACACTTGTTAGCAGTCTGTTTAACGTTACTCGAGAAGAAACGATGACGTAGGATTTATTTTACCCGAGGCTTGACGCGCGACCTATTTACTTCTCACGAAAATAAACTCGACTGGGAAAAACGAGGAAACCTTCGTCTTGGCCTCGCTTTTCCTTCCCGTTCGCGCGATCGCACGCGTATACGCGATGGCGGAGTTGGCGCTTCCACGAGGGAAGCTTCTTTCTCCGTTACACCGGTGTTCCTACTCGAAACGATCCACTTTCTCTGGCTTTAATCGACGTAGGAGGTGCAGGGGCTCGAAGAGTCGTGAGAGGCTCGTTAATCGATTTGTTCGCCGAATACAAATAAGCAGAGTTATGCGACTCGCGAGGAACGGCCCTCGAAGCGTAGCCGCTGGACGTGGTCAAGCGATACGTTGTTGCAACGAAGGTAAATCGGGCCAGAGTCGCGGATGAATGCTGCCTCTGTGCTCGTCGGCTCCCGTCCACGATATTCGTAAAAAGACGATACGGAGAGCTAGCGCGAAGCTGGTCCAGATCTGCAGACCGTCTTCTCCGTCGTTCGTCTCCCTACCAGGAAGAGTAATCTAGGATTATAGCAATCTCGAGGGTTCGAAAGATACGATGTCTCCCTCTTCCACCATATATAATATACAAAAAACTGCGTCAGATATAAAAAATTATTCGATACGTGATTTATTAGAATTCGCAGATTCGCAGATTCGCGAATATCACTAATTCATCGTTCCCGAGGTCTTCCATTATTATCCCCATCGCGTAAGTCGTGGCTCGTTCCACCACTCGTTTCTCCCGACCCATCGTGACACGCTTGCATTCATTACAGCGGGCAATCGAACATCGAATGGACCTAATAGTTGACCCAGATCGGGCCCGTTTTAATTTCAATATTTTTGCATTCGCGATTACCCCGAGCCCAGGAGTGGCTCATCGACGCATCGACGCTCGCGCCATGTTCGAGCATTACCCACGTAACCACGCGAACGCCCGTTCGAAAAGTATAATTTATCTTCTGCCGCTCGGCGAATCGCTCGCCTACATTCCACCGGCAATGGAAATCGCATTCGCGAATCTCTCAGCGTTTGCATGCAGCCCACGGCTGGAGATGGCTTTCTCGTCTTCATCCGCGAAAAGTACTCTCGGCGATCCGAGTCCTCGAGTCCTCGAGGACGAGTCCTTGGATCGCCTCGACTGCTTCTTCTTCCCTCGGCTCTGCTAAAAAGTAGACGTGGTTTCCGTCGCTCGAAGGCTAACCCCGGTTCGATTCCATCTCCCAGACGCGTACGCACACGGACCACCTTTTCGCGCGTCCCTCTTTTTCCCCAGGATCGCTCTTTTCCGAAGCGTTCGAATTTTTCCCAGCTTTCACCGCTACCAGCCATCCCCCTAGATGATGGATTAACTTTGGCCGACGTTATTTCCCTCGACGATGCTTCATCGCGTCGTGTCACGGCGTCCCGAGTTTCACGAATAATTAACGTCTTCGTAGAACATAGACCTCCTCCATGGAACGTCGTTAGCTAATAGAATTCAACGTGGATTCTACGATCCTCGTCACACCGGTCTCGTTCTTGGCCTGGACGAGGATAAAATTGGCCAGCAGGTTCGCCACGGGGTAACGATACCTGTTACGGGGTCAAACGAGACGTTAGGGGCCATCGATGTATAACCCGTTTGCCAGTGATCTCGTTACCAGCTCGTCCAGAGTGGCGACTTCATCGAGTTTCGAAACTCGCTGGATCCTTCGGATCTCGATCCAGATCGCTGTACTTTATTTTCGCGTAAACGCTGCCAGTCTCCCTTTACGGCACCCAGTCCGCGTATTAAGCCCGCGGACGAAGCCTACGCGTACGCGCTTATATTGGCTGGCCGGAATGTTATTGCAGGCTCGAATCAAATTCCAGGCATAATGAAGCAATGGAGTCGGTTGTCGGTCTTTCCCTCTTGGCATCCGCTCGCATTGCTCGCGTTTTCAATGCGAGATCGCGTTCGTTGCGAATTAATTACCGCTCGCGCACTT